CCCCCCCCCCCCCCCCCCCCGACTTCAGTAAAAGTGGAAGATAATGGATGGATGGAAAATATAAAATGAAAAGGTTTGTAAGCTCAATCATCCTGGTAGATAACAAAAATGGACATGGTTTAACTATTTTTTTTGTGAAGGAGCTATTTAGTTTTAGTTCAGAGTTTCTTGTAGCTCTTCAGACTGACGAAATCTTTTGGATAAAATATGAAACGTTTCGACAAAGAACCTGTCCAGATGACCTTGTTAGAATACTTCATTTCTTTTAAAATGGTTCCTTAAAAATATTATTGTAATTATTTTATTGTAATCATGTTTCAAACTTTTTGACCTTGAGCATCTTATGCTTTCAAATGTCCCCTCAGCCTGGTTTAAAGGAGCGTTTGGTTCTGTTCACTGAACATGGAGCAGGAAAACAAAGGTGGGAGGAGCTTAGAAACAAGAGATCAGTATAGCGAACACCTCCAGTGTGTAAATAAAAATATTAGTATTTTGTACTCTGCATTGTGTTTCCATTACCCTTAGCTCATATTTATGCACTACAATCTGGATTCATAGCCCAGTTTGACCCTTGAAACAAAAGAATTAAGACAAAGTACATCATCTGAATTACAAACCGGATTCCAAAAAAGTTGGGACACTAAACAAATTGTGAATAAAAACTGAATGCAATGATGTGGAGGTGCCAACATCTAATATTGTATTCAGAATAGAACACAAATCAAAGATCAAAAGTTTAAACAGAGAGAATGTATCATTTTAAGGGAAAACTCTCTTAACTGTTCAATCGTCTTGGACCTTCTTTGTCTCACCTTCCTCTTTATGATGCGTCAAATGTTCTCTATAGGTGAAAGATTTGGACTGCTTGCTGGCCATTTCAGTACCCGGATCCTTCTCCTACGTAGCCATGATGTTGTGATTGCTGCAGAATGTGGTCTGGCATTATCGTGTTGGAAAAATGCAGGGTCTTCCCTGAAAGAGGTGACGTCTAGATGGGAGCATATGTTGTTCTAGAACCTGAACATAGTTCTCTGCATTAATGGTGCCTTTCCAGACATGCAAGCTGCCCATGCCACAAGCGCTCATGCAACCCCATACCATCAGTGATGCAGGCTTCTGAACGGAGCGTTGATAACAACTTGGGCTATCCTTGTCCTCTCTGGTCTGGATGACATGATGTCCCAGTGTTGCATAAAGAACTTCAAATCGTGACTCATCTGACCACAGAACAGTCTTCCATTTTGCCACCCTCCATTTTAAATGACCCCTGGCCCAGTGCAAACGTCTGAGCTTGTGGAGCTTGCTTAGAAATGGCTTCCTCTTTGCACTGTAGAGTTTCAGCTGGCAACGGCGGATGGCACAATGGATTGTGTTCACTGACAATGCTTTCTGGAAGTATTCCTGAGCACATTCTGTTATTTCCTTGACAATGGCATTCCTGTTTGAGGTGCAGTGACGTTTAAGGGCCCGGAGATCACGAGCATCCAGTAGAGTTTTACGGCCTTGACCCTTACACACAGCGATTTTTCCAGATTCTCTGAATCTTTTGATGTTATGCACGGTTGATGATGATAACTTAAAAGTCTTTGCTATTTTACGCTGGGTAACACCATTCTGGTATTGCTGCACTATCTTTCTGCTCAACAACGGTGGAATTGGTGATCCTCTGACCATCTTGGCTTCTGAGAGACACTGACACTCTGAGAAGCTCTTTTTATACCCAATCATGTTGTCAATTGACCTAATTAGTGTTAATTGGTCTTCCAGCTGTTCGTTATATGCTCAATTTCCTTTTTCCAGCCAGTTATTGCTGCTTGTCCCAACTTTTTTGGGATTTGTTGACACTGAAATTTTGAATCAACATATTTTTCCTTTAAAATGTTACATTTACTCAGATTAAACTTTTGATCTGTCATCTATGTTATATTACGAATAAAATATTGACATTTGCCATCTCCACATCATTGCATTCAGGTTTTTTTTCACAATTTCTTTAGTGTCTCAACTTTTTTGGAATCTGGTTTGTATTTCTCAAAGTCAAAAACAAAGGATCTGTTCAATAAAACAAAGTTCAGTCACTTTGAAAGGTAAATCCCATAAAGTTGAGCTGAAACATCAGATGCTGCCACATCTGTGGAGCTCAGGACATGCAGTCAACGTTGTCTGATCAGCCGTGGACAACGGAGACCGTCTGTGTCTGGAAAACCTGCTCTGAAGAATCACTGGTCTTCTTTGGTTCGATTCTTTTTCGATCTGTTCTGTTCAGAAGTTGGGAGAGTGTTGCACAAAGAACTAAGAGAGAGGAAACCCCTCTCCATGATGGATACAGACGGGTTCATGTCCTGGTTCTGGCTTCTTTTAGATCATGTTTAGATGAACTGACCAACAAAAGGAAGAAACTGTTCAGTTCTTTTTGAAGGAAAGTTCCTGAGGAGTTTTTAACTTTACTTGAGACAGAAAGCCTGCAGAACATTTCCTTTTAACGGCTGGACCTTTCTGGGACTGAAAGGAGACTGAGACTGAACTCCAGCTGTTTGTACAGTTTTAATCTGGATTACTGTGGAGGGTACCAACACATTTTTCTCTGTATCTGTTACAGGTCCAGCCCATCGGTACAGTTCAGCTCGTCTTTGTAAATGGACCCAGCTTCAAACTGTACTGCACTAATGTGCATGTCAATACAAGATATTAATTGTAATCTATGTTTTGTGTTTTTTGTTTCTCTCTCAGGGTTTTCCGTCGTGCTCTTTTGTTTTCCAGCCTCAGCTGTCAATCAGGAGGGCGGTGGACACGCCTGTTTTACAGCCGGGGACATTCCTAACACAGACCGCAGCCCCCGACACACCTGCACGCCTTAAGTAATTTATATTTTCAGCTTTTGTTGCCATGTCCTCCTGTTTAATCAGCAGCAGATGTTTTGAACGGAGCGGTTTGTGTCTTAGGTTGTACGTCCCAGAGTTTGTGTCCTCACTGTCTATCTCTGTGGCTGACTGTTCATCGGGTGGGGCAGCAGAGACGGACGGCTGCTCGCTGCTCCTCACACTCGGCTCTGCAGCTCTGCAGCAAGGCACCGTGACAGTGAACTGCTCAGGACTCAGCTGTTCTGCGTTCCTGTCTGACCCGCCGTGGGACAGCTGGTTACAAGTGGTGGTGGACAGCAGCCGGGTCAACCGGACCGTCACCTTTACAGTCCTGTCCAACTTTACAGGTGAGCACAGGGAGTGGGCTGGGTCACTTCACGTTTCCACTGTGCTCTTGGTGTTGAGCTCCTCCTGTGTGTGTTCCCTTCAGTGGGATGTAAACCTGAAAGTGTCGGCCTTCAAGCAGACGGTGACCTCGCGAAGCTCCGTGGCAGCAGCAGCTCGTCGTCAGCAGGAAACGGCTCGGTGGAGTCGGACGCTCTCGTTTTTAACAAGTCTGCAGTACTGCTGGCCCCGGCGTGCGTGTGGAGCGTCCCCGTGCTGTACGAGGAGATGGACGTCCTGTCGCTCCGCTTCACGCCTGTCAGTGGTCCAAATGTCAGTGTCACAGACACAAACCCCACACTCCTCACCTACCCGCTGCACACCTACGCCTCTGGGGGAACACTGAACCTGCAGCTCACGCTCAACTCTGTGAGTGTGGCTGAATGACACGGTGCCGAGACCCACAGCAGGCCGTCATGATGTTTTGTTCTCTTCCCCCTCGTAGACCAACACAAGCATCGGGAGCAGCAGTGTCCTCGCCTGTTTCACTCCCTCGGCTCCGGTTCTTGAGCTCAACAGCTCTCGGCCTTGTCGCACAGGTAAACGCCTGACTGGATCTGGAAGTGGAGTTCAGTGTTAACATCTTACTTTAAAGAAACCGTTTAGGTCTGACAGGTCTGATGAGGTGAAGACGATGAAGTGGGCTGCTGCCATCCTGAAACAACTAGTATCAATCAGTTGGTGTGAAAGCTGCTTTAGAAACATTTACAACAACTTTCACTACAGGTTATATTTACACAGAAATAATCAGAACTGGATGGGAGGAAGGACTGAAGGCACCTCACCATCCAGTTCAGTTTATTCACATAGCTCTAATTCACAACAAATGTCATCTAATGTCAGGGCAAGTTACAAAGTGTACAAAAACATTCACACATGATGGCGTAGTGGTTAGCTCTGTTGTCTCACAGCAAGAAGGTCCTTGGTTCAATCTCCATTTTCCACCTTCAGGCTCAGCCTTCCTAACAACAGATCTGTGCTCTCAGTGGGATGTCTGGTTAATTAAAGGTTAATAATAATATAAAATGTACAAAGACATTATCTTAAATGATAAAATAGTAATTAGTAAATGTATTGTCTAAGGAAGCAGCAGGTTGAGTTGAACCTTCACCTTGAGGTAGCCTCCCATCCTGAGCAGCACTCTGGAGACCGTGGACAGAAAACCACTCAGACTCTGAGGTCTGGTCTGAGATGGATTATAAACCCATTGTTTTTACTCTGGACCAGGATTGGGACGGGACAGGATTTTTTCTCTGTCTATCTCTGACCACCCCATCATTTGAGGAAACTTTGCTCTCTAGATTTAATGTTGTTTGAAAGTATATCCATCTAAGTTAAGTCGGGTCCTCTGGACAGTTTCTTCTACAAAAAATAATCCGTCCAGAGGACCTGACTTAACTTGGTTGGATTTTTCCGTCTTGATTATTGATCATGAATCAGGATGTTTAAAATTATAGATTCCTCTGATGATTGGGGTGGCTGAAGATTAATCTTTAAGGACTAAGGCCACCCCCTACAACCCTCGGCTCCACCACTGCTCATGGTGGTGGATTAAATGTCTCCCTCCACTAGGCCTGTTGCGATAAACGATAAATCAATTAATCACATGATAAATGAAAATTATCAACCTCATTTTCATTTATCAGCTTTATCGTTTCTTCGTGTCTCTCTCTTTCTACTGAAGACACTGGATGACTAAAGGATCAACTCTGGTGCTCTTCACTGACCCCTCCCTTTCTCTGTGCTCTTTAAAATTTGTTTTAACAGTTCAAAATCGTGTTTTTGGATCGTTAAAAGAAGCTAAGCTACAAGCTAAGCTAAGGTCGTTTTCACACTAGATAGTCTGGTAGACTCTGTTCGGGACCAATATTCATGACCTTTTGTTTACATTTGAGCTGGTGCGTTTGCATTCACACTGCACTGTGCAGTCGAGACAACCTGTTGAACCAACCTATTCCCCCGCTCGCCTGTGGGGGCGCTGCACCAAGAACTACTGAAAGAAACGACACAAAAACCTCTGAAGACACGTCGTCTTTTGTAAATAAAAATAAAAACGAAGTGGCATCAAGTTTTAGGAGTTATATTTTGTCATTTTTCAAAAATGGACTCAGCATGAGCAGAAAATGAGACAGAAGACCGTGGAGAATATTGTTTTTCACACAAGTCAGCTGACGGCTCCATATAAGGTCAGAGAAATGCGTGTTTGTTTACCCTGTGGAGCGGGGTCCGGTCTGTTTACATTCACAATGTACTCGAACCGCACTGGAGTTCGCTTCTACCGGACCAAGACCTAGGTTTTGGCTTGGGCCAGAGTTCGCCTTTTTGTTCCGTGACAGAGTTTGATGGTGCGTTCACACGTCCCTAAACGAACCAGACTTTCTAGGAAAACGAGCTAGAGTTTGATTAAAGTGGACTAAACAGGGCTAGTGTGAATGCACCCTAAGAGGCTGACCTCAGGAAAAAAACCTTCATTTTGTCAAAGCTTCAAAGTGCCACCCTCCCATTTTTCCTAAAGAGACGCTGCAGCGCTCCCTCACTATCCATCCTTCGGTTCAAACAGTCTTATACTGCCATCCTATGGTCGAAAAAGGTACTACATGCAAAACAAATTAAACATTTCTTCTGTAGTGGACTAGGCCTACGTCGAAACTAAGTCTAAGGTCAAAACTCTTGACCTTAAGAACCTTGTGGGACAGGAACTGTCATTTCATTCATTTGAACTCAGAAATACAGGTTCACCCATCCTGAGACTTTCTCTCTTGAAGATTCAAGTGAAAAGAACACTCTCTGTTTTATTATCATTACTATTGTTCAAATGTTGATAATCAAAGTGTCTTAGTTCAAACTATTTTAGATGTTGCAGTGAACTAATCAATTTTATTAACTGAGTAATGGTTTTTATTCTCATGCAAAAGTTAGAACTCATGTTAAAAGCTGTTGCAGAGTAATTATGCATTTTTCTGATTTCTGCTTTTGAATGAGCAAGTGTGTGCGTTTACAAGGTTACAGTCAAACGAAAAACAAGTTGTTATGTTAAAACTGTCATGTTTTAGAATCCTCTCAGACGTAAATAGAGATGTTTTGCACCTGTTTCTTAAACACGCCAAAACAAAACCCTCTCGGTCTGTGAGAACATTTCTGACCTGTCTCATAACAATTCTCGCTGTCTCTAACCTCTTACGTCACAAAAACACACCCCTTCTGGTCGATTCTGACCAATGAACAAATCCCAAAAAGTGAACCGGGAAAGAGTCTTTAAAATG